TATATATATATATATATATATATATATCGTGTACACTGTTATTTTTTATTAATTTATACAGTTGTCCTTCTAGATGTATTTCTCAAGCTGTAAACACACTTTCTTAATGCATTTTAAATAATTTTTGGAGAAATGGCCCTCTGTACCTAAAACAGAATTGCACTACAAATGGCCAAAAGAAAAAGAAATTAGACAAACCTTTTAGTGGAGACCACTCACTACTACCTTCTCCTTTTCCACCTTTCTCGCCCACACCAACTCCTGCACTTCCTGCTCCACTTGCACCTCCCGTTCCTCCTGCTCCTTTGCTTCCAGGCTTTGGGGGAGGCACAGGGGCCCCTCCTCCTGTTTGTAGCCCTACAAAATTCAGACGTCCAGACTCCTTGCTAACAAAATGCCCACCGAGGTTTATTATTTGACCTCCCACTTGACCTCCCAGGGAGGGAACAAACTTCTGCAGGTTGTCCTGAAAGAAAGGGTAAATGGACTGGTTGTTATACAGCACTTTTCTACTGTACCTGAGCACTCAAAGCTGTTTATACAACTTGCCTCATTCACACAACCATTTTTTTCTATGCATAAATGCTATCTATCTACCATTCACACACATTCATGCAGCTTGGGTTTAGTGTTCTGCTCAAGGATATTTGGTATGCAAAGTGGGAGCAGCCAGGGATCAAACCACCAACCTTGCAATTAGCAGATGACCTGCTCTACCTCCAGAGCTTCAGCCAACCCATATAGAGCAAAGTATCACCATTATAATCAATCATACACCATACAATGCTTTGATTTGTATTTACTGAATAATAATGATCAGGACTTGAGCATTATGTTTAGGTTAAAATTATGATTGTGTGGTCTTTATCTGCTTCAAGACCAAAAAACCCTCTTATATCACTGTTAAAATTGATCAGTATGATTATAATTAAAGCCCAGGTGACTTTACATTTAAATAATCACCATCTGCATGCTGGTACTAGGTTTCTTTCAAATATTTATATCAACAAAAGCAAAATTGTAAAGGTAAGGATACAGTTCTTCAGGTGTTACCTTTCTGCATGAGATTCAAAGCTAATTCAAGATTTATTTGCCTCAAATTTGCTTGGATTATCAACCTAGTGTCAATAAATTTGCATTGCAGTGACAAACAAGACTTTATTTTGTTTATGAACTAGGCTCTCACCATGGACTCACTACTGAAGATGTCAGGGTTGTTCTCATAGATGAATTTCTCCACTCTCTGCTGTCTCATCTTGAACATCTTGGATCCTCGGTTCTTCAGCAGGGAAAGCTCCTCCAGCATGATGTCTTTAGGAGTTCTGATCTTTGTTCCCAGGTCAAACTCCGATGCCTCTGGCTCTGACTCATATTCTACGTAAGTGAGAGCCAAACAATGGCCCTAACATTGGTAAATGAGGTTGAAAGTAGTACTAACTCATAAACATTGTTTCATTAAAGAACGGTATCCTTTATTAGTAAAGTAGATTGACTTAATTGTACTGCAAATAAGCAGCTAGTTCTCTAATACTTGTACCCCTTTTTGTTTTACCACCGTGTATTTCTGTGTACTGTGTTTATATGAAAGAGCTCCACTGAGCAGTGGTAACTTGGTTTCATAGTCACGTCATTTTATGTAAGCCTTACCATCCTGAGGGATATGTGATAGGTCAGTTATGATCTTGGAGGGCTTTTTCCGCTTGGTTAGGGGAGCAGGTGTACCCAGAGGCATGACTTGAGGGGCCGGGGGAGAACACAGAACATTACCTTTGGTTAGAAAAATGTAGAACAAGTGATGATATTAACCTGAACACATACTTAAGCAATGAAATCCTTATGTTCAAGACTCAAAAGTTAATTAATTTTAAGTAATATCAAAACTTCTCCGGAAAAAAGAAGCTCCTTAAAGGGATTAAGTCTAGATAAATAACATAGAAAACTTTAAGAGGTTTAGTATGAAAAAAACATAAATTAACAAAATAGAAACCAAATAAGACAAAGTAATTGATACCTTCAGTTGTAGTTTTCTATTTCACACTACACATCCATATTCAAAGGAATTCATAAATCATGAATTGACTGTAAAGCTTTAATTGCACTGAAAGGGGTGTTGTTGCTTCAGTGTTACCATTGATTTGCACCATAGTCACAAAATAACTCTCAACCATCAACACTTTACCACCACGCCTGAAAGTGAATCCCCGGGACCTGAATGTATCAGACAGACTGACAGCAAGGGCCCTCCTCATTTTTCAAGTTCAAACGGGATGTCAGTGCCCTCAGATTTCTTACATTCTCTAGTGAAACAGATGTCTGCCTCGAAGGAAACGTATAGCTCAATATGTGTTTCAGTTTTGTTTGGAGACACAAGATCTGTACACAGTCTGTGCCAATGTAAACAGAACCATGTTATGGTTGAGACAGAAGCCCCGGGCTTATTAAAAATGATGGAATTATTCATAATATTTTATCACAGCCTCTTGCATGGAAACATAAAGGTGGGAAAACTTCCCTCTATCTCATAGGCCAAGCTATCCACTGTGAAAGACATGCATCTGGTTTACATGTAATTATATGCGTGCGTTACATGGTTTCTTATCTTTCTGAACAGGTATCAACACTTTCAGCTCTCACCAGTTTCTTTAAGGCCCAATCAAGTGGCAAAACATCACATCACATCTACTGGCTGTAACTCAACCCACTGAAGCTATTTTTAAAAGCCATTTCCAGCCAAGACATTTTAGCGACATGGAATGGCGTCATTCGGCTATCAAATGGGCTCAACATAACCCTTAAGAACACACCTCCACAAAACAATTCTGACTATATATTTGGCCATCTCTCAAAACAGGTGTACAAACTGGTTTAGTTAATGGATGTTAACGAGGAGGATTTTCAACACTGTCTTTTAATTCCCTTAAATAATTAAAGGCTCAGACAAGTCTGTTCTCAGATTTACCAACCCCTCTCAGGGTTTGGCAGCGCCATATAAAACATATGCAACACCCACCGA